CGCCGTTCTGCAGCGCCTCCAGCGCCTGGGCCTCGCGCTGGCCCTCGGCCTCGGCCTCGGCCTCGCCCGCGGTCGGTCGCTTCTTGGCTCTCTTCCTGTCTCTGGGCCGGGCCTCCTTCTCCTTGTGCTTCTTCTTCTTCTTGTGCTTGGAGGCCTTCTGGGCAGAGGGCCTGCGGGTCAGCCTGCGGCTCTGCACACACTCAGGGAGCAGGGAAAAAAGGGCACGTGGGGGCAGTGGGGCGGGAATGCGCCCCCCGGGGCCGGCAGGTGGTGCGGTGGCCAAGGGCACCATGTGGCCGGCCAGTTTGAGTCCCGGACCTGGTGGTTTGCTTTCTCACTTTCTCTCTCAGAGATCTCCCTCTCTGTCTGTCCCTCTCGGGTGAAATTAAAAGAAATCAATCAATAAAGTTACGTGAAACGAAGAATGCACGTCCTGCTTCTGGGGCGGGCTCGAGCTCGAGCCGGGAAGACAAGCTCCCTGGAAGCTCCCGAGCAGTGAGAGCCAGCCCTGCTCGCAGGACGCGCGGGCCAACACGAGGCCCTGCTGGCCCTGGGCCAGGACAGGACACAGGCCCACAGAGACCCACACGCCCATGCACACGGCAGCCAGAGGCAGGGCAACCCATGTCCGCGGAGGGGTGAGCACGAACACGAGGCCGTCCACACGGGCCCGCACTCGGCTGGGGACGGGGAGGCGGCCCAACTCGGGCCACAGAGTGCAGGCGCCTAGACACCTCGGGGCACCAGGCCGGGGCTGCCTGCTGAGGTGGCAAGGGTGTCCTGTAAAACAGCAGTGACTTCCGTAACCACAGACCCGCTCCAAACACCGACCCCGAGCTTCACCGGCTGAAGCTCTCGGATCGTCCCGAAGCCTCCACAAAGCTGTGACCCGGACGTGAGGCCCAACAGAAGCCCTGTCCTGTGAGCAGGCTCTGGCCACAGCCGCAGATGGCCTGCCCTGTGTACCGCCCAGGCCTCCCCTGCCCACGCCGCCCCACGGCTACCACTGGCAATCGGCACCTTGTCAAGGTCGTGGTCCTCGGCGCTGTCCTCCCCTCGCTCTCTTCTGGGCTCCACGCTCTCGCCCTTGGGGGTGTCAGCGGTTTGCGCCCCAAGCTCGTCCTGCAGGGAGCGACAGGCTGGGGCCTACCAACAGCCCGGGCCACACACTGGCGCACTCACGCGGCCCTCAGGCAGGACGGCGGGGCTCTGGGCATCCCAGCCGGCCCCCGCCCTCGGGGTGCCACGGAGCCTGTGGTCCAGCTGCTGCACTTCCCGCCTGGCTCCCATCTGGTGACTTAGGGCACCGGTGTGACCAGAGGTGCAAGGCCAACACTGTAGGGCAGCATGGGGCCTGTCGGAGTGCCCAGCCTGACCTCTGGGGTCATGCTAGGTGCTTACCGTGGCTGGGCTGGGCGCGGCAGCTGGCGGTGGGGTGGTGGACAGCCAGAAGTCCAAGTCCTCACCCTGGAACCACAGCAGGTCGGGCCAGGCGGGGTCAGGGCTGGCAGAGCTGGGGGCCCTCATGCTCCTCCCAGGACGCAGGCCCCAGCCCCGCAGAGCCTGAGCCAAGGAGCCAGCAGATGGGAGGGTGGACCACGCTGTTCGTGGAACCCCAAATGGGCCTGCCCAGGATGTGGTTGCTCCAGTAGACCAGCAGCAGCCCCAGTGGGGGGAGCCACGTGACGTGGGCACGGACAGCCACGGCCCTGGCGCAGCTCAGGGACCCTGGAGTGGGGGCCACGTGACGTGGGCACGGACAGCCACGGCCCTGGCACAGCTCAGCGACCCTGGAGTGGGGGCCACGTGACGTAGGCACAGACAGCCACGGCCCTGGCGCAGCTCCTTAGAAAGCCCCCGTCCCTGCAGTGTCTGTGCTTGCGTGGGACAGCCTCTCCACGGGGGCTGTGCCGAGGTCCCCCCACCCCGGCCCCCTGCCCTGCCTGGAGCGGCCACGGCCCACCTTCTTCTCCTCCTTCCTCTTCCCTCTCTCCCTCTCGCGGTCCCTGTGCTTCTTCTCCTTCTTCTTGGGCTTCTTGCTCTTCTTCCCACCCGTGGGGACGTCCTCCTTGTCAGGGGACTTCAAGGGCTCGGCGTCCCTGTGTTTCTGCACGGGCAGCTTTTCGCTGTCAGCCAGGGGCCTGGCGGGGCAGAGGAGGTGAGGGGCAGCCGAGCACGGCCAGCGGGTCTCCCAGCCCTTCGGCGCGGGCCCGTGCCCAGCTACTCACTTGTCCAGGTCGATGTCCAGGGCCCTGTATGGGTCGTTGGGGTCTTTGTCGTCCTCGTCACTGGGCAGAGCATCCTGGGCAGAGGGCCGTGCAGTGCCCAGGGTCACCAGCAGGGCCGGGGGGGCCTCCCGGCCTCTCTGTCCAGCCGGGACCAGGGCACCGCCCACGGCCAGCCTGCACAGGGCTGCCACAGGGGCACGCCACAGACGCGCCCCCAGCTCCGGGCCCAGGCGGCGGTGCCCACAGGAGGGGGGCTGACCTCAGGCATCTCCTCGGTGACGATGTCCACCCGCTGGGCAGGCGCGATGTCCTCGTCGCTCTCGGTGGGCTGCGAGCTGTGGCGGCGGTGCCGGCCCTTCTCCTTGTCCTTCCTCTTCCTCCTCCTGGTCTTATCCTTCTCCAGCCTCTGCCGGTGCCGCCTCTCCTCCTCCAGCTTCACGTACTGGTCCGACATGGGCAGCCCTGGGCGCGGGCAGAGTAGGCTCGTCAGCCCTGGCCCGGCCCAGCCCGGCCCGGCCCCTCCACCCATATGGCACGGGACACTTGCCTGGGACCTTCAGAGGCACGGACAGGTCGATCTGCACCACGGGGATGTGCTCCACGCCCGGCGTGCCCACGCACCGCTGCGGGGAGGCCTGCATGACCACGTGACCCCGCCGGGGCACCATGTGCCGGAGGTTGGGAGGGGGGTCCTGGCTGAGCCCGGACGGGAGCCCGGCGCCTCCCTGGGGCTACAGGGCTGCAGTGCAGGGCACTGGCCTGGTGGGGAAGCCCCTCCTGGCTCGCTCGCCTAAACCCCGGCCCTCAGCGCCGCCCAACGGGAGGGCCAGGCGGGGCCCCGCAGAGCAAGGGGATGGCCAGGACCATGCCCCGCCACGATGCTGTGAGCCCCGATCAGGAGCCTCACGCACACGCGGCAGGGTGCGCTGCAGTCACCCTCCTCCCGGGTCCCACGTGGCCAGGCAGCAGTGCTGCAGCAGGCTGTGGGCCCCCGCGGGCAGGGCCTGGGTCCGGCGTGAGGCCTCCCTGGGGTGTCAGCCATGTGTGCGCATGGGGGGCTGTCTCTCACGGAGAGTAAACCAGCTCTCAACACAGGACAGGAGGCCTTCTGCTTACCACACGGTCCAGCCCCACTCCCAGTCTGCCCAGAGCCGGGCACCGAAGGGCATGGGCCTGGGGGATCCCTGCGTGCAGCCCTGCGTGGACAGACACCCTCCACAGGTGGGAGGCAGGGGGACGTGGGGCCCGAGGATGCTGGGCTGGGGGCACCACGCATGGAGCCCTGTGTGGAGACGCACTTCACGGGCAGGCGGCAGAGGTGTGGCCCCACCCCTGCTCCAGGACCTGCCATGGCTGGGCCCCCCTCAGTCCTGCACTGCTGAGAGCTCGGCCTCGACCTGCAGCCCAGCTCGGGGCACCGGTGACCATCACCTGCCGCTCGCCAGCACCTGCGCCCGGCTGGCCTCACCTTCTGCGGGGACGGCGAGCTCTTGATATAGAAGGGGTTGTTGGCCTGCTCCTGCTTCCGGGCCTCACGACGCTGTGGACGCAAGGCCGCCGTAAGTGCGGGGGGGAGGGGGGAACAGGATGCTCGGGGCAGGGCCCCACCATGCTGCCGGGGCTCTGGGGGAGCCTCTGACCTTACCAATGGAAACAGAGGCCTGGGAGGAGTGGGCGTGGGGCGGCTACTGTCTCCAGGCCCAGGACTGGGCTCAGAGAGGTGGTGCCTGACTACGGCGCCCACACCTAAGCCCCAGCCAGGGCTCCTGGCCCCAGGCCACGCTGCCCACACGGCTGGCCTGGGCTGCAGGAGCTGCAGGGACCAGGTGAGACAGGAGGGCCTGTGTGTTTCCTGGGAGCGGGATGGGGGTGAGCAGCCTTGGAGCTGCCATGGGACCCTGTCTGTATGCCCCAACTGCGGACGCCGAGTAGACGCCAGGGAACGGGGCCCGTCAGAGCAGCCGAGCCGAGGGCCCCAGGAACAAGACACAAACGCGCCGGAGGG